GATCTCCGCTGAAGAGTTCAGAGTCAGAGGCGGCAGGGAAATGTGACAGAGCACGTGCTGCATTACGCTCCAAAAGGAACTCACCTCTCCGCAGCAACTATCAGCGGCTGTGGCTGTTAGGGGTTGCTGTATGGATTTTATTAGAGCAATTAGCTTGTTTTATTTAATATTACAAGACCAGGCTGTCAGTTAATGGCTGTCTGGATCAGATGTCTCCCTGGGATGGAATATGGCTCTTGGCACATCACAAAGTCAATTTAAGAGAGTCAAAACAGCCCCGCTGGTGCAAGAGCACTTCAGAGGCGCAACCATCACCTATCGGCCCATCAATTCCATTCCCTTTGCCCGAGGGACAGGAGACACGTCTGGGCACATAACGCTAACTAGCCCAGATTGATGACAGAGTTGACAGATCCAAAAGATCTCAGCTAAAAGATAGTTATAGTGAACTTAATCATCAGAATAACTCTCTCTAAGGTGCTTGCTTCTAAGAAGAGAACTCCTGAGGACAAACGGCATCACACATGTCCACACCAGGATGTGTACAAAGACGAAGAGAGCAGGATAAAAATGGCAGAAAGCATGGAAGTCATTACAAAGGGAGTTCCATGTTACGCCTTGTCTCATGACGACGGTAGGATTTCTGTGGAAAACAAGGCAAAGTGGTGGTTCCAAACGACCAGCGGGGAGGCTGCCTGCAGTTCCCTGTTGGACGCATCCGCCAGCACATCGCTTTGATGGAGAGCTCCCCTGATACGTCTTAATTCTTTATGTCCCGCTGTCCCAACCTACATGCTTTCAGGAACCTTAAAGACTAGTTCTCCTTCACGCTTATTAGTGAAGAATTCTGCCTGTCTAGCCAAGCAGTAAGTTTACGACGTCCCTTCTTCCTTTAACTAATTCCCCAGTTGCCTCTCCCTCTGCGAGAAGGGTCTCACCCCTACGCACTCCAACACAGCACCAGCACCGTGTCCTGCCTGTCCTTGTTTGTTTACTGAAGGCAATTCTATACGTAGAACTCACTATATTCTATACACCGAACAATAATTTTTAATCACTACAGCTCTGGAACAAGCACTTCTGTTTGGGGTAGTAAAGTTCAGTCTGTTTGACTGTTTATGTGTTTATGTCCTGCATAGTCAAAACAATTAAATATCTTGTGGGTTAATTACCCATCCCAGTCTCAGAGCAGAGGGAAATGGAGAGTGATATAAATGACAAGGATACATTCTGCTGGATACATTCAGCAGCCCAGTCGAGAACTCAAGAGGTGCTGCAGATTATTTTGCCAACATCCAGATAAAAGCAGTGCAAAAAACCACTCATCAAATATAAACTACGTTCCCTTTCTATTTGTACATCTATTGAAACGTGACTTAAGACGTTTTCTTTTTAAGTATTAAACACCAAGTTTTGCTTCCTCCCCCTCCCCTTCCTAAATATTTTTCAGAAGGGGAAAAAAAGAATCCTTCTGTATGAGCGTCAAAACTCCAACCAGCCTTACTATGGTTCTCAAAAGCTCTTCCCGAATTCCAGCTTCAGCCAAAAGTTTCTGCTGGAAACTTAGCAGAACTTAATACTAACCAGATGAAATTTTGGGTTACCCTGCAGCATTCAGACAGTATTCAGGATGTCAAAGAACATCAGATCTTGGGTCTTCAACGTTTGAGATAACTAAAGAGAAGAGCCTCAGGTTTGCTGTAGACATGTATAACCTCCGTGTGTTTTAAAACACCATTAGTCAGATCGCCATTACCCACGGACTATGTGGCTCAGGGACAAGCTGTATCTGACGCACAAGGAGTTGTTTCTGGCTGACAGGTCCAGCAGCAATAGTAACATCTCTATTTTTCCATTAGTTAAGTATCTAATACTCGTTAAATATGAAAACTGGTTGTATTCAACTTTTGCCTTTCTTATTTTTTACCTTTAGTTACGGTAAAAGGTCAGCTGCATTTAAAATTTACTTAAGAGAGCAAGTCATATTTTTGCCAACTTAACCTAAGTCCACATCAAATCTAAGCTTTTCCACTCTACCTACCAGCAATATTATTTTCTAGCAAATCCACACATAAGAGAATTATCACCACACCCACCCTTGGCACACAGGGACACTGCTAAAGCACGTTTAACTGTCTCAGCTGCGAAATCCAGTTGCTACCTACTGCACAAGGCACGCTGACATACAACGCATATACTAAAGCACGTAAAACCTTTACCTTTTGAAAGAAAAGTAGAATACTTACACTCTGATTTGTCGAATAGGCCCGTACTTCCCAAAAATATCATACATTTCCTCCGCTGTGATTTTATATGGCAGGTTCCTAATATACAGGATCCGATTGACCTCCGGAGGCAGCCGAATCTGATGGAGAAACAACATGCAGTGTGTTAAGCCTAGAGCGCTCACTTCAAACCGTAAAAGCAGCCAGCGTACGTGCTAACTCTTGGGGCTAACATCACAAAAGAGTCCGTGTGCTTCACAACCCTCCACAGCTACAAACTTGAGGTGTTTCTGTCAAACAGGAGGCCTGCCAGCAGGGGGGCGGGCTCCCTTGGCGGGGGACGAGGAAGGAGGGTAGGCCTGCTCTCAGCCGCGGGCCGGGGGACCCCTCCTCACCGCCCCGGAGAGCTGAAGCGCGCCGGGGAGGGGGCAGGGGAGAGCACTCACGTTGGCTCGCTTGGCCGCTTGCATCGCCATGGCGCCGGTCGGAGAGAGGGGGCCGCAGCCTGGGAGAGAAACGGCGGCGGGGAAGCGGCCTCCTCCAGTGCGCGCCGCTCGCCTCAGCGGGGGACCCGGATGCTATCCCAG